CATGTGCTATAGTGCACTCGTTGGACTTGCGTAGGCGGGTACTAAGCAGTTGGGTTGTCATTCTGTCATTCTGTCCACACAGTTTAATTGATTTGTAAAAAAAAATTATATTTTTGTTTGAGCAGTCTAGAGCTCTATTTCTTCTTGTAGCAACAGATAAAGTTGCTTTCTGTCATTTAGTTACGCTCTTGTAGCATCCCGTGGCACCAAAAGCTGTGAACTGCTAAACCAGGGGACCTCTCTCCAGGTGAGAGCTCGTGTTTCACTCTACAGGGCCGAGATTTGCTACAGAGGTAGAAAATCCCATCTAACAAAAAACAAAAAGAACGATTTTGTCCTAACTTCGTTGTTTGTGAGTTACAGTTGCTCAAAGTTTGTGATTTAGCAGGCTCTTTGAGAATTTTTTAGGCGACACTGCGGAAAGCAGGAGCAACCAAACTCTCTCAGTCTCTTTTAAATATCTAGAAAAATTTTCTGTACCAACTCTTTCTTGGAATAGAGCTTCAGATGCTAAAATAAATTTCAGCTTTTCTTCTTTCTCCTACCCGGCATGTGCCATAATTTAGCTTAGTTAGTTGTTGACCACACCCATAGCTTAATTATCATTATAACTATGCAGTCCATAATAATAATTTTTTTCAAATTGCTTAAAATATCACAGTACAAGTAATGCATATCACTCAAGTGAATTCCAGCAGGCGAGTCCATTGCACCATAGTGCTTCATTCGTGATAGCAATCTTGCTACTAGCCCCCTTCAGCGTCTACAGCAGGCTCATAGACTTTATGAGTATATTAAGAAGTACAAGAGCAAAAACATTGCTTTTTCCCATTGTACTTGAAACTCCAAAATGGTGGTAATTTTTACGATAATTTACAGTGCAACTAATATACTTAAAATTCATTATGCATAATTATACATAGCACTAGCTGATCAAACATACCTCTGTTTCTCCATCAATATTTCTAACTATTGCCAATATTCTTGTTCCACCACCTTTGTAATCAAGGTATGCTGGTATATTATTAGTTTTGGTCCTTCTGACACAGAATGCATCTAAAAATAGCAACACAAAAATAATAGTTCCAGTTGAATGCTAATAAATCACGTGATGCAGTATTTCTCAGATTCCTATTGAGTGATAGAACAGTCTAAAAGTTAATGGTAAGTAACAGTGTGGTTCTGAAGAGTTTTACTTGCATCCTGAATGAATTGTGAGCACTAAAACGGATGCCAGTATGACACAATCTTGACGCCATTGTTTATTAAATTTTACAGTTTACATGTACACCTACTTTTAATAACTTAACCTATCCAAATTTTTATTACATTTTCTCTCTATTTTTTCTGATACAGTATTATCCTCAGTATTATCAATGTCTTTATGCCACAACTAAACAATATTTTGAAGTAGAACAACACTAGTACTATATAAGCTATAGTTCATAGGTCTTCATCATCCTGCTCTGCATCAGCATCAAACAACTGGACCCTCCTACCACCATTGGATACCTACAGAAATACATGTACATCAGTCATACAATGTAAGCAGAGATACTAGATAAAGTAATGAAGAATAGCAGACCAAAGTTTAACCAAAAGAACCAGTAATATAAGGCCACTCCAATTAAATTCAAGTTTCTCCTTGCCCGCCCGCACCAATATTTTGATTATTTAATTAAAATATTAAAATAATAATAACGTAAACACTTGCTTCTTTTAAGGTGTCTTTTCACTCTTTTTAAAAAATAACTGGGCTATTCACCGCTCTCTAGTTCATTGATGAACAAGGAATCAGGCATAGTTGCTACTTTGACAAAACTTTATTATCATATATACTGTATAGCGCTTTATTTTTGAGGAGCTAAACTTTCGCTATTTTCGCATTTAGCATGAAACCGCAAAATTAAAGATCCGCTAAAATTTCAATTGCCATTAAAGATGTGGCAGTAACATTGCGAATCCGCAAAAATTATTTCCGTGAAAATTTGATTTTTATTAATCCACGAAATTTTAGCTCCGCAAAATTAAAGCGCTATACGGTATTATATTTTAATAGGTAATGTGAAAGACAATCTATTCCTGAGCTTGAGGTCAATCCTGCCTTTCATCCTGCTAGACTGAAGATCTTAGACTTACCTATTGTCTATTAGTGTAAAATATCATTGTAAAAATTATGATTATTTTGAACAAATAAGAGATTGTACTGCTAATAATGTTCCTATTATTGTGCCAAAGTGAGCAGCCTTATAATGAGAATTAATGTAATATGGGTGCTGACTGCTGAACTGTTGATAATCCAGGTGGTACAAAAAACAATTTAAATACCTAAAAAAGGAACTTCTGTGCCTTTTTGGCAATTTTTAATAATGGTTATTTAGTGACATTATAATGAAAATTAACTTACTGCCCACCAGAATCAGTACTGAATGTGTAAGAAGAAATTATGAATTTAATTGGAGTGGCCTAATACAGGGTATTTCGCTATCTTTACGTTATTTAGAAAAATAATTTGATTTGATTCTAATTACAATTGAATTTTATAGCTGTGTAAAAATTGGGCCAAACAGTGTACCATACAAGTTGGTAAATAATATTTGGCAAATTTGCTTGTTGAAAGTTAATTAGCAAATTCTATATTGGCGATTTTGTACCATGTGCCATTGAGCATGCTCAGATTGAAACAAAATGGCAGATTTTTATGTTGGCGAT